CAAATAATTCTGTCAATAACACATTCACACACAAATAATATAACTAATACAGCTCCAAAATTAATATTATCATTGATTGATAGTAGACTATATTATGTTTTGATCCTTTGAAATTTAAGTAAGAATATACAAATAATTTTTTAGTTATCATTTAAATCTTTTAAGAATATAGTTAACAATATTATAAATCTAATCTTTATTTATTTTTTATTTAAATTAAAATAGAAAAAACTTAATTCTGAATAAATTTATTTATTCAGAACTCATTATGAGATTTCTAAATTAGCCAATCTAAGCATTGTAACATATAATTTAGTATTCATGTAGATTCATTTTTAAAAACATTACAAATTTTTTGATCTTTTTCACAAAATTAAAATAGGAAAATTGACTTTTTTTTTTGGAAGAATCTTGAACTAACTGATTGAATTCAGAAATTAATTAATGTTTTGGTAATAAACCAATTTTAAACAACATTATCTTAATAAATAATTAGGTTTTATGTATATAATAATTTGCAGATTTAGAATTTCTAGTAGTTTGAAAGAGATATTCTAATTATTTAGTCGTTGAATATTCTTAATATCAAATTAGAAATACATTTACTTGCACTTATAATTATGCTATCAAAGTTTTTATTTTTACTAAATACAATTAACAAACCTAAATTCAATATTATTAGAGCAAATTCTAAATTTTAAAGAAAATACGTGAATTTAATATTATTTTAAATCATTCTAATGCTTTATTTAAAGAATTCAATTTCATTCTTTGAACTTCTTTAATTACTAAAGGGATTAAAATAATTCCTCCACCTCCACAATATAGAAATAATTTATTTTCTACCTATGGAACAATTAATTGATTTATTGCTGCAAACATTGCCCCGAAACCCATAATTACTGATACAGCAGTACTGCTAGCTTATTTATTTTATAAGTTATTTTTCAAAATATATATTCAAAAATGGAAATATTACAGCTCTTTTATTAGAATAAAATCCATTTAAACTAAATAAATATAAAATCTAACCACACTATAATTCCTCCAGGAATAGATCCCAAATCAGTTTAAGCAGTAATCCAAGCAACATTAGGAACATTTTTTGAATCAAGATAAGCAGGAAGCCAGATATAAGAATATAATATACAGCTTTAACACATACAAGTGCAAGTGCAGAAAAAGCAACGTTTGGTACAAACCAGGCAGTTATAAAATTTAATTATTCATATTATTAATAGATTTTTAAAGGTGGCTAATACACATCTTCATTTTTGTTTTCTTCTTATAATGTATTTAAATTATGTCCAATTTTTTTTTCAATCATTGCTATTGTTAATTATTAGTTATTCACTTTAAATTAATTAGTCTTGTTTTTCTCATATTCCTCAAGCATTTACTTTTTAATATTTGCAGAAGGTGCATTTTACAAGAAAAAGACATTCAAAAAGTTGATTATCAATAAAGAGACTGCTGCTAAATATACAGGAGCATACAAAGGCAAATGATCTCTTCCAATCATAGAACCTGAATAAATATCTCCAAATATATTCCAATATTAGAATTTGCAGCAAAACAACCCAAAAGAATTATTTTTTTATCTGTAACAAACCAATTGTTAAGAATAGCTAAATTAAAATATTTATATCTTATAATCCAAGCCATGCTGTTGATTATGAGATACTATTTATGATTTATAGTATTAGGTACAAATAATTCTTTTTTTCCTGAATTTCAATCATTACACCAATAATTTTGAAAACTATACTTGTTGTAAAAGTTCCTGCTAGAATAAATACTCTTAAATTCATTCTGTCGCCATATTGTCCTAAACTAAAATAAGCAATCATCATACCAAGATATGTCTATCCCATAAAAAAATAAAAAAGCAAAATTTATATAACCTAGATATTCAGATGAAAAATATTCTTATTTCACCATGTCACCTGCTAAAGTTGATCGAGTGCAATGAATAAATACGTATTAGAAAAAACATAGGATATATCATTTTATTTATGAATTTTTCATGGATTCTTAACAGTTTCCCATACCTTTAAATAATTATGTATACTCATCGAATAATAGTTATTTAATTGGAATCTATTTGTATTAAAAAGTAATGATCAATATTTGCATATTATTGATGCTTTCGATTGAGGAATACAAAAATCATTAGAATTAGTAAAACAGCAACAAAAAGCCAACATAATTTATGACAGTATACGATTTTGTGATTTATCAAATTTCTTTAATATATTATTTTAAAGAAATAGTATGTTAAGAATGATACTGTAAATCAGAATTCTATGAAGCTGCAAGGAAGACAAAGTAAAAATTAATTCAATATTTAAAATGCCTTATTTGTAAGAAAAATTATTTACAAAATAAAACATATATTATTAATTAATTCCTTTAAGAAAAGGATTCAAGATTTTTATATAAAGAAAAGAAAAATCTAGATTTTTACTTTCCTCATTTCAAACCTAAAAATGAAATTACTTGAGAAGGCATTCTAATAACAAAGCATAAAATAAATAGACGCAACTTAAAAAAAAGTTGTTTAGAACTTTAAAGCTTAAATTCATAAATTAACCATTAAATCATCTTTTAATATTCTTAATGATTAGGACTATTTAAAAAGTAAAGAATGATAAAAAACAAAAGATATATGATTGCCTAATTTCTATGAATGATGATTATTAATATCTCTAAGAAAGTTTTAGAAAAAATTTATAATTTTAATTAGGTCAATTTGAATAAAAGACAGCATGATAGTTTTATTGGAGTAAAAAAATGTGATCAATATAGAATATAAGTCTGAACTTAGAATAATCTCAGAGACTAATGTTCCTCTAAAGTAAAGCTTACAAGATATAATTAGAATTATAGCAATTAGGTCAACCTATAGAAATTAATTAAAAAAAGGAAGTGTTGCTGGTATAAAAAAAATCTATCTTTCTTTTAAAGTTCTTGAATTTTCAAAAATATAAATATAATTTTATTAATTCTCATTTAATTCACAATTCTATTTCTTTATTGTAGAATCACAGCATAAGACTATGGAATTATTGAAAAAATAACTTTTCTATCTTCAAGTTTTTCGTAATATGGAATGAATTCACTTATCTGTGTTTGATAATTAGATTTCTGTAAATATGTTGTTTCAACGAATTCCAATATTTTTCAAATGAATTCAATTAAGGAGAGAATGGTGGCAAAATATTTTTCCAATTCTAAATTATTTATATTTTCAGAAAAGATCTCTCCATGTTGCACCCTATATAAAATCATTTTAATTTTATTTTAATATATATTTTTCAATTTTTGTCTTTCTCCAGAATTTGACATGATTTGATATTAGTTTGTTTTTATGAGCTTTTAAAAAGAACGAATCAATTACATCTAATGGACCTCCCCTATTCTTAAAATAAAAAGGAGGTATTTAATTAAATTTTATTGTCAACAATTTACTATTGTTTAGGTAAGAAATTTCATAATTTAAAAATGTAAGTTGTTTAAACCATTTATTTATTCCATTAATAACGTCACTGTTGATGTATATTAATACGCATTCTGCATATTAAATTTTTTAATATAAAAATTGCTTGATTATAGTTATTGTAACACAAACTTTCTCCTTATAATAAATAATTCTTATTTATAATTTTGCAGATAATTTATTTTATGATTTTATAAATTATCCCAATAATTTTTTGGCAATAATTAAATTCTTCAATTATTTTTTGATCCATTACAACAGGTAACATTAGAAATGGAAGATAACCATAATCAAATTCGATGCACATTACATTTTTATAATTCAACAGTAAATTTTGAAATTATTCTATAAAAATATTAAGTCTACACCAGTTACCTGATCCACAGGACATCTTTTTTGAATATGCTTTATAAATTCCTCAGATTTCAATTTTTATTAATAATGGATTTTGTTATTATACAGTCTTATTAAAAAATGTAAAATATGTTTATTTATTTATTTTAGGTTGAAGAAAGATGAATATAATTTATAATCGTTAAGTTTATTAATCTCTGCAAACAATCATTCTATGATCGTTAGCTATTTTTGTGCAAATTGAATAATCCATTATTCAATAAGCTGAAATAGAGCAAGAAAATATATTTTGATATAATTTCAACTTAAATAATTAAAGTACCAATGATAAATTTGAAAATAATGATTTTTATTTTTTTTTTGTATCAAAATTATATTAAATTTAAGAAAGAAAATTATTTTAATTATTATATAAATTAAGATAAATTTAATAATTGCAATTTCTATTTTATATTTACTTAGAAAATTACGATAATTAATATAAATAGAATTAATATTATTATTTTCTAAATAAATTATCAGTAAGGTCGATGAACTCCTTTAATAATTTAATGGACACTGTAGAATTTATTTTTAAAACAAATGATAGTGAAAGAGAGATTTAATCAAAAATATTAAGTCTCTTTTTAACTATCCAACTAAGATGGATTCACTCCTTAATAATATTTTTAAAG